TATATTAAAACATATAAAATTATATAGTATTTCTTTATTAGTGTAGTACAAACACACCAACAAACACTATTTGTTATGGAGTTTTTCTTATGATTTTATCAAAACACATATCAGGAGCTCGTGTACTCCTGATTCTACATATGGATATAATACATCATCAATACAAAGTTACAGCATAATTGCTGCTGTAATACATTAGATTTTTTTCAATGACCCTCTGATCGAAATCACCACTCCATGATGTTGTAAATCAACATCATAGATATATCCATTGCAACTCAGTTTGATTAACCAGACTTTTTTATTATATAATTGTCACCAGTGAAATTAGAAAATACACGTAATAAACACCAATCTTCCATCTTTGACACATTTTGATATGTATAACGCAAACATGCATTGCAAACATGCTGCTCTCTTTGTAGCCACCCGTTCTTCTATGTAAAAGTGTAGATTTAGACGACAATTATAGAACGATAGGGAAAAAATGTTTCCTAACATCTTTACGTAAAAATGAGATTTCTTGACAAGTATATTAGATATATATATATATATCTATATTTGATATTGCCATTAGATGCAATATTATTCTAGAGCCTAATTAAATTCTTGCTTACAAACACACAACAAATAGTTAAATGATTATAAATCAAACACCAACAATATAAACACAGTACATTCTCTAGTAAAGGAAATGTTTTATAACCACATGTTTCTTCACATGGTGATCAATGTGATTCAGTGTTAATTTAGTAAAGCTATGACATTAGTAGAGACAATAGTATAGTAGCAGCAGAATAGTAGAAAATAAATCTCAGTCGCACTGTGACAGACTAAGAAACTTTAATATATTTTTTCGGCAGCTGTAGCCAAGTGGCATTGTAATAGGGCGTGTTCGAAAAAACATTGCTTAGCAACAATGTGCCGCAAAGTCGACAACTTGGAAAGAAAAACACGTATAAACCGGTCTAACTTGACCGATCTAGCAACAATATCCGAGGCGGAGTGGAGGGAGCTTTAGCTTGCTCAGCCAGATAGCTCGACTGCACTGTAGGCCAGAATGCAGAAGCAGAAATCACAGTAGGTAGTCCATGCAGCCTTCGTTAAGGTAATCGTTCTTCGTCTGCGTTCACCCGGTGTAGTTGACACTGGCGCCCCCTTGCGTCGACGGCAGTGGCTGTAACAGCGCGCGTCTCTCGTCGTCGTCGTCGCTGGCGACCGAAGCGGTGGATTCGGACGCGTCCCGCGAGGTGGCGTCGGCGTGCAGGCGCCGCACCTCGTCCACGCGACGCTTTTCCCGCCGGCTGCGATTCAGAACGCCTCCCTGCGGGACGAGACGGGCGAGCGGTGACGATATCGGATTATCAAGTACAGCATACGTACCGCAGTGATGGCTCACCTCGCATGTGGAAGGTCAGGGGTTCAACTCCCGGCCGGGTTATACCAAAGACTTGAAAATGGTACACACAGCTTCTCTGCTTAGCATTCAGCAAATAGAGATAGAGCGTGGCAAGTTAACTCGCAGTGCTACCAGTGGACTAACCCCCTACTGTAGCATTTACTGTGAAAGCAGCTGCGGGGCCTCAGGGTTATTGAAACGGAGATAAGCACTGTCCTATGCGCCATATAGGCGCGGGAAGGATTTAACTAACTAACTTAACTAAGTACAGCATACAGATACAGCGTAGATCATCTGATACAGCAAGTCGCAATACGCTTCTTGGCCCCCGTGTTGGTGAAGGCCGGGGAATTCCACAGAATGACCAGAACTCGCCACGGTGAACACGCGAGCTGGGAGCGGTGACAACGTCGACACAACAGGAACCTGTGCAGGAGTCAGTGTGTCCCGCCCACCGTGTGATTTAGTAATTGTGTCTTTCTACAGTGACCTACCTTTCGCTTGTCATTGATGTTTAGGAGCAGAGTAGTGACCACACACAGCAATGTGTTTCCTAGTAGGAATATCATCACGTACTTCCACCTCTTCAAGGTCTCCTCACTAGATAGGCTAAATAAAGTAAAATAAAACCATATACATTGAAAATTTCATTATACATAGTCGTTACAGTGTTCACAAACAAATTAAAATCGGTAGCTGTTCTCAATGTACAGTTATTATATACCCTGTAGTGTATGTACATTATTCTGCATTCATATGACCATAATTTGCTTCTTAATACGTTTAGTAATTTTAGCTGCTATATTGGCATTCCTATGCCGTTGCCAGCACAATTTCTCGTATCAGGAAAAGTGAGGTATGAGGGATTTTAATCAACTCTGCAGTGTCATGTCTACATTTTATATGCAAACACATAATAATAACAATATAACATAATACATATTAATAAAACTACACTTACGTTTCATTCTTTCCTAAAATCGCTCCCACAATGACATTAGAAATTCCTATTCCCACCATCTGTATAGATGTCGTAATACCCATAGCCGTGCCAACATACGCCTGCCCAACAACTAGCGGAATAGAAGGCCACATGCTTGCCTATAAAGAAATAGAAATATATCACTCATTAAGGGTGTATCTCATTCGATTGGCGTTTGGGAAGGAGAATGAGAGGAGCTATTGTCATGTCATTGTTAAGTAAAACATGATCCCAAGTGTTAAGCGGGGGACACACCATGCGAATTTATTCACACGTCCGCAGCGATTGTAAAATCGCAGTGAAATACGCATGGTGTATCTGCTCAAGCGTGGGCGAATTCAAACGTTTGATATTTTCGCTGCGGATGTGAGGAGGTGTGGAAGTGCGAATAAATTCGCATGGTGTGTCCCAGGCTTTAAGCAGCCGATTGTTATAATGCAGCGAACAATTGATCAGTATGCTAATCACGTGACCACATGACTGTTGGAGCCATGGTGGAGCAGTGTGGCGCCAGTAGATCGCGTGTAGTGTATACGCTGCGGACGTGCGAATAAATTTGCATGGTGTGTGCGCTCAATTATCGCATGCGGGGGCGAATATTTTCGCTGCGATTTTCGCTGCGGATATGATCGCCGCAGATGTGCAAATAAATTCGCATGGTGTGTCCCAGGCTTTATACATTCAAACAATGTCTTCTCATAGCTATAGGACGTGTGCACTGACGTGATTATTATAAATCACACATTTGAGTTTATGTAGCCAATTATACTTACTGCAGCAACAGAATAAGTTACTCCCAGCCACAGCATGACTGCCAGTGGATAAACATTGCTGAAAGCTAGTAGCCCAAACACTGGGATTGATAACAAGGCACAGGCCATTGCCAGGATACCACGCTTGCCCACAACATCCTGTAATACACAACAGCACGCTGCAAAATATGTTGCACATCGGTTCATATACTATCGTACAAAATAATTACATAACGACTAGGGTCACTGTTAATTATATATAGTGGTCATCATTATTTAAACGTGTATCTGTAAAAATCACAGTCAATTATGAAAGATATAAACTAACGACGAGTCCACCAATGAGAGGTATAAAGAACATTAATAAAAAGCACAACAAGTGCCGCAGAGCGACAGCGCTCACCTGACGGCAGGTGTTCGGATGCTAAACTCACTGGCAAACGAATGAAGAGCACCCTCAGTTTAATATTAGCAAAGCGCCCTAACCTGTAGGGTTAAAAACTCCTACTTTAACCTCTCCAGTCTTTCCCCTTGCCTCTATTGTCTGTCGCTCAGTCGCGTTTTTCTTCTGCCGCCCTCAGCTATCTTTCCAGCCGTCTTTCTACACTATCCCACCCCTCTATCCCTCAGCAAACTATATTACGCAGTTGTCATCAGTCCGTACTGCACGCCTGACACGGTGATTGCGCATGCGCAATATCTCTCAAGAAGAAGAAGAATTTGCAAATATCATGCATTTAATATGAAGAGGAATTATCCTAGCATAGATTTCTATGATAACATTCGATCAGTAGACCTCACGTAAGAAATTGAAAGAAGACCTTGCATGTAAGGTGCCCGCTTCATATACCAGTCAATACACAATCTGGCTACATTAGTGTTTTAGCGCATGCGCAATATCTCACCAGAGAACTTATATTTTGTGATGATTAAGCATTTACTATGGTTAGGGGGTATCTCAGCATAGATTTATGTAATAACTTGTTATCAGTAGACTTATGTTTATAATTAGCAAAGCGCCCTAGCCTGTAGGGTTAAAAACTCCTACTTCATCCGCTCCCGACTTTCCCCTTGCCCCCATTGCCTTTCCCCCAGCCTCCTTCTTCTTCTACCGCCCCTCGGATATCCTTCCTGCCACCTGTCCACAGTATCCATCACCAAGCTATATTACGCAGTTTTCCTCAGTCCGTACTGCACGCCTGAAACGGTGCTTGCGCATGTGCAACCTCTGCTGAGAAGAAGAATATTTGGCAAAAATCATGAATTTAATATGAAGAGGAATTATCCTAGCATAAATTTCTATGATAATATTCCATCAGTAGATCTCACATAAGAAATAGAAAGAAGACCTTGCATGTAAGGTGCCCGCTGCATATACCAGTCAGTACACAATCTGGCTACGTTGGTGTTTTAGCGCATGCGCAAACCCTCCAGTCCTTCCCTTTGCCTCCATTGTCTGTCGCTCAGCCGCGTTTTTCTTCTGCCGCCCTCAGCTATTTTTCCAGCCGTCTTTCCACACTATCCCACCCCTCTATCCCTCAGCAAACTATATTACTCAGTTGTCATCAGTCCGTACTGCACGCTTGACACGGTGATTGCGCATGCGCAATATCTCTCTCGAGAAGAAGAATTTGCAAATATCATGCATTTAATATGAAGAGGGATTATCCTAGCATAGATTTCTATGATAACATTCGATCAGTAGACCTCACGTAAGAAATAGAAACAAGACCTTGCATGTAAGGTGCCCGCTTCATATACCAGTGAGTCAGTACACAATCTGGCTACGTTAGTGTTTTAGCGCATGCGCAATATCTCACCAGAGGAGTTATATTTTGCGATGATTAAGCATTTAATATGGTTAGGGGGTATCTAAGCATAGATTTATGTAATAAATTGTTATCAGTAGACCTGTGTTTATAATTAGTAAAGCGTCCTAACCTGTAGGGTGCAAAACTCCTACTTCAACCCCATCAGTCTTCCCCCCTTGCCGCTCGCATCAGGCCATATTTTTGCCTCTCGCTCAGCCACGTTTTTCTTCTACCGCCCTCAGCTATCTCTCCAGTCGTCTTTCCACAGTATCCCACCCCTCTATCCCGCAGCAAGCTATATTACGCAGTTTTCCTCGGTCCGTACTGCGCGGCTGAAACGGTGCTTGCGCATTCGCAATATCTACCGAAAAAGAAATGAAGTATTTTGATGCGGGAAGAAAATTAAGAAATAACATGCATTTAATCTATGAAAAGGAAATATCCTAGCAAATAGATCCCCTATGAAATAACATTCATCATAAAGACCTCACTTAAGAAATAGGAAGAAGCGAAGGACCTGCATGTTAAGCGTGCCCGCCCTGCTACACAGAAGTCAGTACAACAATCTGGCTACTTAGTGGTTAGCAGCAATCGCAAACATAAATCAGGAGCCGGAGAAGTTATATTTTGTGAGTTAAGGCATTTAATATGGTTAGGGGTATCTCAGTGGAAGAACAAGCTTTAATGTAATTACTTGTTGTATCAGTAGACCTGTGTTTATGATTAGCAAAGCACCCTAGCCTGAAGGGTGCAAAACTCCTACTTCAACCACTCCCGACTTTCCCCTTGCCCCCATTGCCTTTCGCCCAACTCCTTCTTCTTCTACACTGCCCATCGGAATATCCTTCCTGGCCACCGTGCCCGACAGTAATCGTCATCACCACAAGCATAGCCTTTACGGCCAGTTCCTCAGTGTCCGTACTGCCCGCTTGAACGGTGCTTGCGCATGCGCAACTCTCCTGCAGAATAAAGAATATTTTGCAAATACATCCGATTTATATATGAAGAGGGATTATCCTAGCATAGATAATCTACCTGAGTAAACATTCCCTACAGTGAGATCTCTACGTAAGAACATAAGCAAACCTTTCATGGAAGGTGCCCGCAGCATATACCAGTTCAGTACATTTTTCAATCTAGGCACGTACCGTAGTGTTTTGCACAGCCGCAGATACTCACAGAGAAGGAAGTTATATTTGCAGTGTAATGCTAAGGCATTAATATGTGGCGGGGTATTTCAGGCAAGTAGCTGATGTAATAATGTTGGTATCAGTAGACCTGTTTTTATTATTAGCATAAGCGCCCTAGCCCGTAGGTGGCAAACATCCAATTTCCAACCCCATCCAGTCCTTCCCCTTGCCTTCATTGTCTCTCGCTCAGACCACGTTTTTTCTTCTAACCGCCCTCATCTATCTTTCCATTCGTCTTCTCCACACTCTATCCCACTTCCTCTATCCCTCTGCAAGCTATATACGCAGTTTTCATCATCCGTCACTGCACGCCTGAACGGTGATTGAGCAATGCGCATATCCTCTAAAGAAAATTATTTCGCAAATTATATGCATTTAATAATAAGAGGAGTTATCTAGCATAGACTTCTATGATAACATCTATTAGATAGAACGTGCGTACAAAATAGGAAGAAGATCTTGCATCTAGGTGGCCGCTGCATATGTACCAGTTAGTAACAATCCGGCTAAGTTAGTGGTGTTAGCACATGCGCAATATCTAGCCGGAAGTAGTTATGATTCTGTGATGATAAGGCATGTTAATATTGTTAGGGTGGTACCAAGCAATATGCATGCTAAGGACGAGTCGACAAAGCTTATCATAAATCGATTTAAGTTAAGCCTAGATATTCTCAGTCATCTGACAGAATGATACCTCCTCGTCTCTCCTCGTTAAAGAGCTATAACAAAGCTCGATGCCAATCACACGTATTCACACGCCGCTCCCAAGTGATCTTCGCCACTGGCTTGCCTCACCATTAGTCAATCCGTCGCACATCAGCTCCTTCTTCTGTTGCACTCCTAGACAGTGAATCGGAGGAGCGATGGCGCCGGGAGTCCCGTCTAGGTCTGCACCAGTACTAACGCTATCTCCAGTCTGCTTTCCACAGTATTCCCACCCCCATATAATTCACGCCGGCGAGCAGAGGACACTAATGTATAATTGTATTGATTCAGGTTTCGTCTCAGTCCGAGGGCGACACTGCACGTGAGAACTAACGCGTACGGGATTGCATCTTAGTTAGCGTCAGGAGGAACTTGTCAACGCGACAATTCTCTCTTCGGGGAATACAATATTTGCACAAATCCAAAAAAATCGCGTTTCAAATAAAAGAAGGAGAGGGATATAACTAACAATACCTAGTAATATTAAACAATAAATTCAGCAATCTAATAATGTATATAATTAATCATTTTCCACAGTAGACCTTCACTTAAGAATAAGAAAAGACCTTTGCAATGTAATCGTGCCCGCTGGCATACTGTTGACATAACATAAGTATGTGCTCTCTACTTTGTTAAAAATAGGATAATATATTACAACCAATTTGTAAATTAACTAAGCACAGCGCCGAGATAACACGTCTACTAATATCGAAATAACAAAGCTTGTAACATACTGATAAACTATATTTATTTTAATATTATTATAATTCACACACCAGTAATAAAAAAATCAATAGATCAGAACACAATTTATCTTATTGAGTAGCATAAGAGAAAAACAACACCAACAAGCCACACAGATATGTTGTATGGAGTAGATTCTTATGATTTATCAAAAGGACATGACACCAGTAAGATCCTCGATACGAGCCTCGATTCACTATCAATGATGACAAATAATAACTCAGATCAATGAACAAAAGAATAACAAGCATAGATTGCTGCCCTGGCGCGTAATACATGTTAGTGATTTTTTTGACCATGATAGGACGGCGACTAGTCACCTGGAGTGAACAACGACCGATTGAGGGGATACGGTACGTGTGGGACAAGGTGATGGGGCAGGTGAGGGGGAAAGGTACGTGTGGCGACAAGTGAAGGGCACATGAGATGTTAGCGATAACATAGCGATCGAACATGGAGATGAAGAGGCACACATATCGCAGACTCAGATTGGTGATATTAACCGCATTGAAGGGACCGGTACGTGTGGACAGGTTGAGGGGACAGTACGTGTGGCACCTATTGTAATTGAGTACATAGGTACGTGTGGGACAGGTAGTTGTACACCGGAAAAGTGGAGTAAATTCGGAAAATTAGCTAGCAAATCAAAACGAGCCGAATCGGACCATAGCTTCGACCACAGTCTTGATATGTACTAACGCAAACAATG